ATATAAGCTACAGGTATAATCTAATGATCATCTCTGGTTAACTATCTAGTACCAAATTCACGGGAAGATCCACGGAAAAGGGCCCATTTTTTTGGCATTTTGGAGGTTCGCTCGGCAACAGAAACCAGTTTCTCTCGAGCAACCACCAAAGAGTATCGATTACCACTGCTCTATAGCCCTATAAGGAATCACCTACCCGCGCACCTTCACACTCGTCTCTGAACACAGATGTCTACAACAACCAACCGAAGATACACACACGCCCATACTCTTTCGCTCATACTCTCCAGTACTCACCTCCCTTGCAACAACCCCACACCTACCTTTGAACTCGTCATCACCAAAGATGTTTTCGCACTCCTCATCACCATACAGCACACCGTCGCCGCATTCATTCTCTACCAACTTGCAGTCGTCGTTGCAGTAGAAGGTGTCGTTGGTTCCTCGGGTTCCGTCACACTCTTCGTTCAGGTCAGGGCTTGCCAGACCATCGCCACATCGCAGCACAGCCCAGTCAGGCACTGACTCTGTGTCATCGGTGCATGTATCGTCCTGGAGGGGTTTCATACGCGGAGTGTGGTCGTTAGAGTCAGGGTGATAAGTACTTGGTAGCAGGATAGGATGAAATCGATCTGATATGTTCAAAGGATATGGATAAAGGTTCAGATGACAAAGAAACCAAACAGTGGTTAGATGGGACCGGCAGAAGAATGAATAACAATCACAGACCACTATGAGGCCTATAGCAGTACGCACCTCATTCTCAACCCGGTTGCTGGCACGAACTCCTGGGGGTGGGCACCACTCGTACAGGTATCGAATCTGCACTATAACTTCAATGGAAGTAGTGATGTCTGACAGAATGTTGAGTCCCTGGATCTCAGCCATGCCCACGGCATCTGTGTGTAGTATGAATGTGTCGCTTCCATCGTTGGAGAAGTTGTCTTTCTCCTGTATGAACGAACAAAGTGTGTATTATATTAGTACTATATAAGTATTATATACATATATAGACATACAAATAGACAAATCAACATGTATATGTATATATAAATATATTTATATATATATATGTGTATATACATACACACACA